CCCCTGACTTAGCCTTCCAGTTTATTTGTAATTCAATGGTATAGATTAAATGGAGCATGAAGATTTTAATTCTGAGGTCTATTTTTTGGCAAGGATGTGTAGATAGTGAAATATTCATGACGTCAACTCGGAGAATATAGTCATGCATGCAGCCTACTTACCTACAATTAACGAAACAATGTTTTATTTAGATGGGACGATGACGTTGTTTTTAAAAATTGTGCAAAAGGCATCCCAGAAAAAGGAAAGGTCGGTGTGAAAGATATTTATTTATTTATTTAGTACGTAATGTTTGTTTCAGAAAGTAATGGGCATAGTACATCAAACAAATATGAAATTCTTTTTCTTGGCTAAGTCGTCTACGCCCATGCACCGCCATCCAATTAAAATACTTGGTTACCTAGTCTCAACTACACACGTAAAAATATCACAACTTGTCAACAAGATGTGTTCTCACACGCTTATGGCAAGCTTGTCAACAAGTTGTAACAGTGCTGTTATTTTATCAAGTTGCTACAGGATTGTCACTCACAACTTGTTGACAGATTGTTGAAGTTTTTGTTGAATTGTTGAATTAACAGGCTTGTTACAACTTGTGCGTCTTTACGCGTGTAGTCCGTCATATATGTCAAAACAGTGGTAAACATGCATGCGGGTGTTTCAAAAACGAACCCCTACGAAAACAAAGACCTAAGATGTGTCTTCGTTTTGTAATTGCCAAAACAATCTTACTGTAGGTCTTCGTTTTCGTAGTTCTTCGTTTTCGATAAACTTGCGAGTTATCCAAAAATGTGAATTTAGCTGATGAGGTCTACGCCTGAGTGAGATTTTAACAGACACAAACAGTGGAGTATTTCCCTATCACATTATGTGCTTGTTATAGATGATATTCTTATTTCACTGTTGTTGTATTTTAGGAAGGGAAGTTTATTAACGATACTTTGAGGTCGGAATTTCACAAGAAATTTATGAACAAATATATAAAGTGAGGTTATTGGATCATGATGACGCGCTATACATACATAAATGTACATTGAAGATACTTGTCTTTGGGCAATACTTTGGAGCTTCTGCACAATACTTTGAGCTACTGTACTGTACAATAAATTACATTAATGCATTTTGTAAATACGCTGGTTGATAGTAATTTAGAAATGTATCTGATTTACTGTAATCTCAGCGGACAGCTATCACTGACATGAAATGAGGATTGAAAAAATGTGGTGCATGATGGGAATGATCAAGGCTCAAATTTGTTTTCGTCGTTGCACTCCTCAGTCGACTGACCTAGACCTGACGACTGGGTACGAGTCTCCCCTATTTTTTATTGAAAGTGCACAGTTAGTTACGATTCTGACACTTTGGGCGAATCTACTTCGTTGCAATGAATCAGCTTGAAAAATATACTGAGTCGAGGTTTCTAACTTTCCAGACGAAGAGCCTTCGCTGAACACTCGCATTTGGAAATAAAAACTAGTGCTTGTTGAATTTTGGGATTTTTTGCTATAATAAGGGCCCTATATCCCTCTCTAAAGAGCATTCACGTGTAGACTAAATATTTTTATATTTAAATATTTTTATATTTAAATATTTTTATATTTAGTCTTCACGAATCACGAGTCGTGAAAACTTGAAAAAACTCATTCACGTTTATGAAAAAATCGAGGCAATCACGATTCGGTAGGAATATAAAAAAATTCACGAATTTATATTACTGCGTAATAAAATTATCAAGTATACAGAGTACTTGCTGTTTGCTGCGTCGTAAGACACTCAGATAAACGGAAAACAACAAGAATTTCGATCCTATTCAATCCTAAAAATCTACGAAACGATCACGTTCATTTCAATCCTTAATTCATTCACGGATCACGGTGGAACCTCGCTTTCAAGTGCATGTGAAGATTTGATACCATACGATCACCAATCACGGATTAAAAAATCATGGATCACCCTGTTAGTAACCTCGTTCCCAGGGTTCCTAGGCCTAGCATAATAAAGATTTAAATTACACAAAACGGAATTGAGTTTTTCTTGTCCCCAGGCGTCTTAATTTTCCATAACCTCATCAATCTGGCGAACCCAGAGCCATCCGTTCCCAGGGTGAGGGTCTTTCTCTTTTCTGAGAATATTGAGGGGCCCTATACTTTTCGCGTGAAGCGTGATGGATTTATTTCTGGTTTGCCGTGAAACAAAGATCAGATGAACTGTAATTGTAAACATTAGTAGGTAACAGGATTTGGGGAACTCACGAAATGTTGAAGGCAATTTTGAGTGTATATTTTATACATTTTTACACCTAACCAGGAGCAGTTGTGTGATTTACACTCGAAATTGCCATCTACAAAAATTAACCCTTCAAGATATAGTACCGCAAACCTCTTTTGAAATATTACAGATAGGCCCCGATTACTTTTGACACTTGTGGTCACAGTGCTGTAAGTAACTTCGTTAAAAGTAACTAATTACAAGTAATCGTTACATTTTTCAGTAACGGTAACGGTAACTTGTTACATTTTGAGAACATGTAACTGTATAACGGTAACTAGTTACAAAAAATGCCATAAAATTGAAACGATTACAAGTTATTTTGCCAAAGTTACAAGTTACATTTTGTTCATTGCTATTTGTGTACGTTTTTAAAATGAAATAAATCAATACACAGTCAGGCATGCAAGCTCTTAATCATCTGCACAGGAATAATTTAATCTGACACAACAGAATCCGTTCAAGACACAAATTTAAGTCAAGGATTGACGTCAAATTTACGTACAGTTGGAACTGATCGGAATGCCGTCGCTCGCCTTCACTTGGGCCTTGGCTTCGTCATAATTGGTCTTTGGCCTAATTTCAATTGGCCTTGGCGCAGTCATGATCACGTATTCACGTTTCTGCTTTTTCATTGTGAAGTCAGAAGCCATTAGCCAGTGAGGTATATTTTTTTCCAATCTATTCGTTCAGACTGCATAATAGCAGAGTTTTTTTAATTGACAATTCTATTAAAAAATCGATTTGGTGGAATTTAAAGATGCATGCAGATACATCTAGTAAATAGTTATTAATTTTGCCAATAATTTTGCCGCAAGTTTCATTACCATTCGGCCCATTCGAATTGTATGCGTTCTTAATTGCAATCAATAAATGTAACTTGTAACTTTGTAACTAAGTTACAAAAAATATTTTGTAACTTTGTAACTGTAACTAGTTACACTTTGGCGTCTGTAACTTGTATCGGTAACTAGTTATGTTTTTGGCAATGTGACTATAACTGTAACTAGTTACAAATAAACTGTAACTGTTACAGCACTGCTTGTGGAACTGAGTTTCGCTACTAAGGGATTTATACGGAAAAGGATACCATTCATTTATCACATGCATGTCCTTTACCACTTTTCTCATTCTGTGGCACGAGTTTGAGCACTTGGGACAATTTTCTGCAGTCTGACACTTCATGTTGTTTGCACATGTTTCAGTTGGAGACACCATTTGCCTCCTGACAAATCGAAAAATGACCAAGTTAGCGACTCTGATTAATTTACATATGGTATTGACAAATATGGCTGTTGGCATTATTGCTCTTTTAGTCTTCAATATTTGAGCGATCATTCTTTGGAAATGACAATAAATTTTTATTGCACAACCCTTTAGTTTTTTTTTTTTCATTTACCCAACCTTTTTTTTACTGACTGAACATTTTGTTTACCCAACCTTTTTGTCTTCAGTTGCACCCCCCGCCATAAATAATGACCGCTCACTAAGGGACGGTCCATTAAATATCTGGGGGGGGGGGGAATACAAAAAAAAAATTCGCGCACAGAAAAAGTCCAGAAAATAAATATCGTGCACAACGCACAAAAAATCGAGCAAGAAGTAGAGCTAAATTTTAAAAACGTAATACAAACATTGAAATTTTCGACAATGTGAAACTCCCCCCCGTCCCCCGTTGACAAACTTTCCGTGAAAATTTTTTTTAGATCATCCAAAAAATATCTTGCAAAAGAATGTATAGGAAAAAAATCTTGCCAACTGTGAGGTATGAAAAAAATCATGAACAGCTAGAAAATTGCAATACCTCATAAATCACAAGTAAAAAGCGTAGGTCAACGTTCGGTCCGTTCAACTCCGCTTTCACTCGGAGAAGATCGGAATAAGACGTCATATTTGCGGTCAGTGTACAGGTAGCAAATTTATTTTTAATTGCAACAAGTATGCAGAAGACGATTTCTAGTTCTACTACAACGTCAAAATCAAATCAAAACATATTTTATGGAATAAAGAACGCTGTAATATTCTTTGCTTTGAGGTTTAAAGGAAACATTGAACTATTCCACTCTGTGTTTGTCCACAGTTTGCCTCAAGACAAGAGGAAGTTAACTCGCGCCTAGAGATGGCAGTGAAACGAACTATAAATATTACCTTAGCGACCAAAATATCGTATAAAAACACCTACTGATATAACATAATGTGCCATACTGTGAATGTCGGACTATGTGGAGTGATTTTTATAACATTTGTAAGTATTATTTGGGCAGAATGTGGAGGAAAGACTGCTGTTCATAATGTGTTGAACGGGGCAATCACACTTGAAAATGATGGACCTACGTACTCAACAAATACGCATTGTGAATGGCTAATTGAAGGTAACTATCCTAAGATTTTCTTACTTAGTACTGTATACAATGGATCTCTCTTATCTTGCATGTAAACATTGCTAATAATCTTATGCTAAATTGAGTAAATTGTACTAGATTTTCTATATTGTAATCTCTCTGCAGCAGTGCAGCTGTTATGACATGATTTATATTCCGAGGTTAATCAAACAAGAACAAAATAAAATACTGGCTATAAAGTAGTCTTAGGGCCTGTTCATATGAGCCCGGTTAACCGAGCTGGCCCACTTTGCCGAGCTGGCCCGCTTTGCTTTCACGTGAGGCGGGCTAGCCCGGCAATCATATCTATTCATAGTAACGATTTCCCGTGATATTTCAGCGGGAAAATAAAATTCGTGTTTAATTGGCAAAATTTTATTTTTGTTGACGGCAACAGCTTCAGGAGGTTTAATTTCGATAAATTCCTATAGTTTTGGTCATTTTAGACTGTTTATCAGTGGAATAAAACATGCAAATTTCCATCCCGGCTTGCCGGGCTAGCCCGGTTGTGCATTCATATGAGCCCGGCAAGCCGGGATCTCGCCTCGCTCAAGCGAGATCCCGGCAAACTGGGCTGGCCCGCTTCTCATATGAACCCAATCCTAAATTAATATACAAACAATATGTGAGCGGGATCTCGGCACTTGAAAACCAGCCCGGCTAGCCGGGCCAGCCCGGCAGAGCAGGGCTCATATGAACAGCCCCTTAGATTTAATACAATGAACTACTGTCTTTGAATATACTGAGAAAAATGAGTCAGGAGGTGGTGCTGTTGCTGTTTATATACAAAGGTGCTGTTTATATACAAAGCAATTTTTCATGCAACTTATTTTTCTGAACTAGTATTGCCTTTCAACAGCCCACAGTAAATTGGTGTATGGTGCTGTGGTGGTACTAGTAATTCCCTGACAACAGGGACAG